CTAAACTAAAAATTGCAGAAAAGCTTGCATATTCTTCACAGTTTTCCCAACCGAATGGTTCAGATAACATCAGATATTTCTCCTTCACTTATATTAGTAGCATTTCCAATAAAATATCTAAACTTTTTTCTTCTACAATTGATAACATCAAAATTTCCTTTAAATCACATAACACTTTAGGTTCCTTCTTAATCAATACCAAAGATAGGATGAATACACTTGATAAAAGTGGTATTTACAAATTAAAATGTGATGATTGTGATGCATCTTATGTAGGTAGAACCATCAGAAAGTTATCCACTAGAGTCTCTGAACATTTGAAAAGACCAAATTCTTCAAGTTTTGGTCAACACTTAGTAGCCAGCAACCACAATTTTAACATCAATTCTGGTTCATCTATCTTACATGACATTAGCAGAAAGAAAAACTATCTTGAGTTGGATTTATTGGAAGATTTGGAGATTACAAGGGAAACAAATGAAAACTCTCACTGTCTTAATACTCAAATTAATTTAAATTGTACTAAATTTAATCCTATATTTAAAAACTTTATTACAGCTTCACCTCGTAGAGGACCCAGCTCGACTGTTTAGACTTCATGCACTGAATATTTCAATATTAATTTTAAAGTTCTTCCATTGACTGTGGATTCAACTGAACTACGTGGACTATAACACATTTATATATTTTGTCTTCAATTTTGATTTTAACTTTTAGTAATTTAACTGCATATTCAGATTTTTCTTTTTTACAGTACTGATAGCGCTTGGTGGACCATTTTATTGTAGTCAACCATCCACTGTCTAATATATTGTTAGTCTTTTCTCACATTCATACTTTATGTCAACTTCAATTGCTCTCAAACCAACATCCTAATTATTATAGACAGGTTTGAGTGTGAGATTGGAATTATTCAATCCACATAAAAAATATACTATATAATTTTATATTTCATCAGTCGATTTCCTATAGTGGTGTCAGTTGGACCTTTGGTCAATACTTAGTGTCATAGAATTTTGAAAGGTGCAGATCACATAACTGCCCTTCATAAGCTGTCATTTGTCACATGTCATCTCTACATTTCCGTCAGACCGGGAGCCCATTCTGTCTCCGGCTTCTTCACAATATGTAGCTTCGCCATATAAATTTTAAAGTGTTTGTTTGTCTTAGTGTAGTGTATTTTGTATTGTTATGTCCAGTTTTAAATTTATGACATTCTACTATGTCGGATAGTCCACAATTGACGAAGTAAGTCTATAAACGTTTATCACATATAAAAATTTTTTTTTCAACCATAAACTTGGAGTTTTTTATCCAAGTGAATTAATTTTCCTGTTTATAAAAAACGTTTCTTGGCTTATTTCAGATGCCCCTGAAGATGATCTATTGATTGAAAGTACTTGGGCAAGATTAAATTAATCACCGTGTTCGATAGTTGCCTTGTATACCCTCAAAGTTTAATTATTCGAACATTCAACCTTATATTAATATAAAATATGTTTGTCAAGAAAAAAACAAATACACAGTAGTATTAAGAAAAAAATATGTTAGGGCTGTAACATAACACCCCCGACCTGAATGGAAATATAACTTGATTATGGGTCGGATAAGAAGATCTTATGTAGCACTTCTAATCTTGACTGCGTGAACATAATTATATAACTTAGGAAAAACTTCCATTACTCTGACAGTGTACCATTTTAGAGGTACAAAAGTGTTAGACCTCTTAGTCAACTATGTAATTGGCCAAGTTGTTCAACAGACTTAGGGAGTAGCAGAGTATGGGAAACTTCAGACTAGCCCCGTCATGTCAATTGTCAATTATTGTTATTTTAGGTGTGTCAATTCTTCTTCATTTCAGTGTCAATTTTTTTGTATCAGCAACTGTCAGCTGTCATTTTAATTGTCAAATATTCTTTTCGTCGAGAAATCTGTCAGCTCTTCTTTTCGATCTGTCAATTCTCCTTTTTTATGGGTAACCGTTGTCAATTCTCCTTCTTATCAGCAACCGTTAGCTGTTATTTTAATTATCAATGATTCCTCTTTTCGTCGACTGTCAATTGTTCTTCTTATCAGTAACTGTTAACTGTCATTTCAATTGTTAAATCTTCTTTTTTGCGTCGGTCAACTGACAAGCCATCCAACAATCAAACGAGATAGGACACTATGGATGATAATAATAATAATGTAAAAGGTGAAGAAGAAGGCCTTACAACATACGAAATATCACATAAAACGACGTGGGGCATATAACACAAGCATGACAGACATATTTTGCTGTTTAACGATATGAGACTGGACATGCGTGGAAACCTTCTTGAGCTGCATACTGTATTTTATCTATGACGAACACAATTAAAAAGCTGACATTGTACATAGGTCTCCGGTAAGAATATATGTTGGTCATAGACAGTTCTTCAATAGCCACCAGGTAACAATTCTCGTTGATCATGTTTATGTATAATCTTATTTATTTATCGTGCCCGGACATGTTATTAATAAAATTTCTGCCCAGTATCGGGCTACGTCGGTTTCATCTTTGTAGGTGAGCCACAAATCGTCGAGAGTACATCGATGAGGATAGTTTCTGCATGTAAGAAGATGTTCCATACTCTGTGTTTCTTCACAGTCACAGTTCACATCATCTTGGTCTATTTTTCCCTATTTTGTCATATTTATTTTACTGGAGCGACCCCCCGTTTTTATCCTATTCATAGTTTTCCACGTTTTAAAGTCTAGGTACTCCGATCCATTGAACCTGGGGAAGAAGAAAACACTCAGGCGGTTCATCCTGCACTGTTCCAAGAAAGCTTTTCCTGGATTTTAGTCGCTTCCGTGGTGTTTGAGCTTTGTATAGGGCATGTCGCTCGTCTGCGTTCTATTTAATTTCCTTTGAGGGTTCTGCAACACCCACTGCTTTATATAGATTTGAAAGTAGCGTTGGTTTCATGCATCCTGTTACTATCCTGCATGTCTCATTTAGTGCAGTATCATCTTGTTTGGTGTGGGCAGATTTGCCTTAAAAGGGGCACGCATATTCAGCAGTTGAGAAACACAGTGCCTGTGTCGTTGTTCTTAAAACTCCAGGACGTGCATCGCATTTACTTCCCGTTAGCTTTCTGAGTATGCTGTTCCTAGTTCTTACTTTCTCTCTAGTGATTATGCAATGTTGTCTGTAGGTGAGCGACAGGTCTAGAGTTACTCCAAGATATATAGGTTGATTTTGTGTGTTTTAATTATTAATGAGTATTACCATTCCATGCAAGTTTTCGCTTGGCTTCCTTTGCACGAAGGTGGAAAGCTCAGACTTGGGTTTTAGAGGGATTGGGTCTCCGGAAATTCTGCAGGTAGTATGCTGTCATTGTTTTTAAGGCAGTTTCGAGTTTCTCTTTCACTTCTTCAGAACTATTTCCTTGAGCACATATTGCAAGACTGTCAGCAGAGAAGAAGTGCTTGGTTTCGGTCAGCGCCGGTTGGTCGTTTGTATATATATATATATATATATATATATATATATATATATATATATATATATATATATATATTGAAGAGCATTGGTGCTAAAACACTTTGTTGTCTGTGATAAGAATGATGTCATCTGCGAATCTAAGGTGGTTTAACCTTTTACCGTCGATATTGATGCCTCTGTTCTTCCAATAGAGTCATTTCATTGCGTATTCGAGGACAGCTATAAAAAGTTTTGCCGAAATTGTTAAATATGGCCCAACTAAATGGAAAACAAAATTACGCAACAATTTGAAGTAGTACATTACATCGCATATTATCTTGAATTATATTTATTAACCACGCCAAAGAACCGTGACTTTCTAAATTAAGTGAAACAATAATATCAATCATAAAAACAATTGTGGCTAGAATATTGGTGAAGTGAAAAACTGACAATGTACGTTTCAAAGTTATATTAATTAAAACGGATAAAAGTTTAACTTTAGTTAATTAATAAAATTAGTTTCTAACATTATTCAATTTTAAACCGCCCACTTTTCAAATGTTTTGTTAATCAAAAATTGTAACATTTAATAGACTCAAATAATTATTGAAGGATTTATTACTTTGAAAAATTTATCGCAGCAATATAAATAAATACAGGGGAGATGATTTAGGTCTAAATTTCCATAGATTGTGATTTTAGTGAACGCAAAAAGTAAACAAAAGGATCACACTGAATGGATCACGGAACTATGTAATCCTTTTAATACAACCGGAAGCCTTAAATCATTTGAAGGTGTACACCCACAAAATCAGACACATTGTCAGATCTTTCATCATAGTAACATCAAAAGATCGTTTTATATATTTAAAATATATAAAAAAAAATTCAAATTTAAAACTTTTTTAGTTCTGAGCACTACTGGGTTAACATTACTGCTCTCGCCTGATTCTTCACTTCGTTTTCTATTCTTTTGAATATAAGTATCCATTATTGATAGCAAAAAACTCCGCGGGCGTTATAAAACAAAACAAAAGATTGACTAAATGACAACACGCGCGACAGTAGCGACTACGGTGGAGAGGAGCCGACCGGCGAAACAGAATGCGCCCGGCGCTCACTCGAATCCAGTGTTGCCAATGTCCGGATAATTATCCGATTTTCAGATAATTTCGTGGACCGTTGGTTAATTTTCGAATTGAACAATTTTTTAAATAATTTCGGATCATTCAAGGGTCTATCGACATAATGTTATATTTTTATTAGATTTATTTATTAATACATATATTTTATACTAATTTAAAATAAAATACTTATATTTTCAGTATTAAAAAACCGCGCTGACACGCTGGTTTAGGGGACGCCATACATGGGACGAAGTTATAGAGAATAAACCAAGTAGCGATATTACAAGACCTATTTACAAGATATACTTTATGCAAAAATTAAAATGTGCCAAGAACTACTGTGCAACTAAACTCAAAAAATTAAAATGTTTTTCTTTGTTTCTCAGCAATAAAAAACTGTTTACTATACTTATTACTTTTAGGATGAAGTTATTATCAATTATAATAAGTTACATGCTGATCCTGGACAAGGTAAAAGTTTGGATATCATCATGAAGAAAATGAAACATCGGCTGGTCGAAAATATGAGTTCTTCAACGGCCGACGCGTTGGGTCTATCAAGAGCAATTTTGTGTAACGATACATTAGTAAAGAAAATGCAAGAGCTGCAAGATACCGAAGTTATGTATAGAGGACTTGTTGACCATTGTAAGAGAATGCTTCAAGTACGTATTGCTTTTTTAAATAAAATACTTATTTAATTTGTTTTATTCAGTTGTATTATGTCTACCAAGCAGTTATTTATAGCATGGATTAATATTTTCGAGATTTTATAAAGTTATTTTTCAACTTGTCCCTTTTAGGCTCACATGGAGTTGCAACAGGCAGTTAAAGCAATGGGGGATATTTTTTCTGGAATAGCAGTAAGAGAACCTCAACCCCGAGCAAGCGAAGCGTTTCGATTATTTGGTGAACAACATCGCAGTATTGAAAAAATGGGTTTGGAGATGGTAAAAAAAGTAAAACCAGTAAGTCTATAATTTTTTATCTATTGGAATAAATTTTACCTATGTGTTTATAAAGAATGAAACATCTTTATTATATGCCTAAGCAATCAGTTCAAGAGCAAAATATTTTTTGATACAAAGACAATAAATATTTTGTTTTCAATCTGTCTATACTGACAATAAGTGCTACTACTTACTGTTTCTAATTAATCAGTTTACTTGATTTATAAATTAAGTAAACCATTTAAAATTACTTGTAGGGAGTATTCCAATGAGTATTCACCTTTCAATGTCAAAAATAAGATTTGTCTTAACCTACAAAAATATTTTAATTAAAATTAAAACCTAGTACGTAAGTCAGATCGTTTGAACCTCTTGAGTCTTTTACTTTCTTCTGATAAGTTTATTAGATCACTTGCTAGTTTGTTTGGGTGTAATTTCACTTGTTCTCGATAGAATACACTAAACTTTTTGATCACTCCTTTAATACTCGGAACATTAAGATTCCTATGAATTGTGCTGTTAGATACATACAATAAGTATGTGCGTAATATTCAAATATTTGGTTTTAGTATCTTTGTATGATGTCTATGTTGGAATTGCTGACAGTTTACCATACTTGGATACCATAAATCGAGTTTTGATCTCTTCCTATGAGCCATTAATACTGTTTTACTTTCAGATCTAATTGTTCCGTTTTAGCAAGATGTGCTTCTGCCATGTCAATCTGCTGTCCAGATGTATGCCTAGATATATCCCTAGGTATTTAGAGTGGTCGCAGTGTTAAAGCTGAAATCCATTATGTGTGACTGGTGAACAGTTATCTCGTTTTGTAGTAAACGTTAAATTAATGGATTTACTGGCATTTGCTTTCATACGCCAAATGCGTAACCAGTTTTGTATGTTGTCGAGAGTGATTTTTGAGCCTCTATAGGCCTGGTATCTGATGCCATAATAACAGTGTCATTAGCAACTAGCGTTCATTTGGTTGCAGATTCTTAGATCGGCAGTAAATAGCAAGCACGGGTCTGGCTCCAGTATGCTTCCTTGTGGTACTCCTACAAAAATAGGAAAAAATTTTCGGAGTCTTTCGCATTTATGTTAGCTTGTAAGATTCCCATACCCAGATAGGAGTTGATCATTTCGTAGAAGGGGTGGGGAAGGTTTTGTTTTATTTTCTAAAGTAAAACTTTATGTTTAGAACTACTTATGGAAGTTCTAGAAAGTATGGAAGCTCTAGAAAGGCTGCACTACAGTGTCTTTTGCCTTCTAGGTCATTGCTGTTTTATTCTACTACAAGATGAATCTGTTCCACAGTGCTATGTTTGTTTAGGAAACCAAATTGATGGTCAGGTATAAGTTTTATTCCATCAATTTTCTCATCTTTTCTTCCTCTTCTTAACGTGCCCTATTAAGTCCCCTTGACGTTGGCGATTAACATGGCGAAACTGTCTCTGTCTCGAGCTATTCTAAATAGTTGCTCAGCTTTCTTTATTCCTGTCCACTCCCTGATAGTCTTCAACCAAGAGGCCTGCTTTCTACCAATTCCTCTGCGTCCTTCTCAGCAGCACCCATCATAATAAGTTGAAGAATATTATATCGGTCTCCCCTTACTACGTGTCCAAAATAGGCCATCTTTCTACATTTGATGTTATCAAGTAGCTCGCGAGCAGCATTTGCTCTTTCAAGGACTGCCACATTTGTCAGCATAGCCGTCCATTGAATTTTTAGTATACGTCTGTGCAGCCACATCTCAAAGGCCTCCAGACGATTAATCGTGGATATTTTTAATGTCCATGCTTCGACACCGTATAACAGGACTGACCAAATGTAGCATTTAACCATGCGCTTTCGAAGTTGAAATTGCAAGTTATCATTACAGAAGAATGACCTCATTTTTAAAAATGTCGTGCGGGCTATCTCGGTTCTACATTTTATCTTTTGATCTGGATCTAGTTGTTCAGTAATATGGCAACCAAGATATTTAAAACTGGACACTCTTTGAATTATATGACCATCAACATATAATCGTGCATCTTGATGTGCTAAACGGCTAAACACCATGTGTTTTGTTTTTGAACAGTTTATGTTTAGGCCAAACTCTCTTCCCACTTTATCAATGGCATTTAAAAGGCATTGTAATCCATTCATGCCATCACCTAAAATAACTGTATCGTCTGCATATCTGATTGTATTTATCAGAATTCCATTAACTTTCACGCCCCATTCCAAATTATACAGCGCTTCTTTAAATATTCTATCTGAATATGAATTAAATAACAGTGGGGATAGTATACAATCCTGTCTGACACCTCTTTGTATTTTGCATACTTCTGTTGATTTTCCGTTTATGCAAGCTGTCGCTGTTTGACGCCAGTATAACTTTTCTATGAATCTTATGTCTTGACTATCAACTCCTTTATCTTTTAATATTGTAATTAATTTGTGATGTTGTACTCGATCAAAGGCCTTTTCATAGTCAATAAATACAGTAAAGACGTCTTTCCTTTGATCTCGACATTTATGCAGTAATACATTTAGTGCAAAGAGGGCGTCCCGAGTTCCCAGTCCATTTGTGAAGCCAAATTGTGTTTCATCCTGATCTTCTTCACATTTATCTCTGATTCTACTGTGGATGATGCGTAGAAATATTTTCAAAGTGTGGCTCATAAGGCTTATCATTCTATAATCGCTACAGTTTTTCGGACGTTGTTTTTTTTTGGTAGTGTTATGAATTCGGACTTTAACCAATCTTCAGGGATATCACCAGTCGAATAAACATCATTGAAAAGTTTGACCAGTATTCCAATATTCTCCTCATTTATAAGCTTTAACATCTCTGTCGGTATGTTATCAGGGCCAGCGGCTTTCTTATTCTTTGCTAACTTTATAGCATGCAGTATTTCTGATTTTAGTATTTCTGGTCCTTCACCTTCAACTAAAGTCTCCGGTTCTTCGGGTCTATCATCATTATACAGTTCACTTATATAATTACACCAGGTTGTTCGAATTTCATGTTCGTCTATTATCATTTTTCCCGACGAATCGGTTATAGTATGTGGAGTTTTCTTATGATAAAGTTCAGCTACTTCTCTAACTGTTTTAAACATATTTTTTAAACATAATAATTTTAAACATTGATCATTTCATAGAAGGGGTGGGGAAGGTTTTGTTTTATTTTGTAAAGTAAAATTTTATGTTTAGAACTACTTATTGTATTCTGTTATTCTGTTCTGCTATAATAGTAACAGCTTTTGCGTCATGTCTGTCATTTGGAAATTCAAATTTCCATATCCTGTATGCAGTCCACTTTTCAGGGCAATGGAATACTAACTTATATTTTAGTATTTATATTAAGATATAAATTGCAAAAATTAGTTTTTATTCTATAGAAGATACTTCTGGTTTTTTTATTTCTAATACAGATTTATCTAGAATGATTTGAAAAAAAAAATCTTAAAAATTATTTTAGGTACTTTCAGATGTTGGAACATATCTCTACAAAGCGATTCCAGATACAAGACTTACAGTAAAAAAATATGCTGATACCAAATTTGAATATCTTGCGTATTGTTTAAAAGTTAAAGAAATGGACGATGAAGAATGTAGTTACGCTGCCTTACAAGAACCGCTTTATAGAGTTGAAACTGGAAATTATGAATATAGGTAAGTTAATTATATCGTCGATGTTTAAATTTTATATAATAAACTTCAAAATTGGGGAAAGTGTTTTTCAAGGTAGAGATCCGCCCAGGAGAGGGATGTAGCAGACACACAACCCGTAGAGTTACACCTGCTAGACAAACGGTTCTTAAACTTTGGAAGAGTTGGGTATGGAAATTTATAGTAGTGGGAGAAATGTTAGCATTTCTCTTCAAATAGGATAATATACCTTATATTGCAGGCAGGGCTTGAAAGAAAACCTTTCTTTGGATCAAGTAGATATTGATCCTAAAAATACTTGGATTACATAAATAACGAGACTTTAGCAGAAAATCTATGTCCTTCAGCTACTCTAGTGAACCTTCTGTCTTGCTCTCTAAAGTAAAAAGAAATACATCACCAGCAGGAGAAATGCTGGATTACAAATTATTTATTCTATCTGTGTCGCTATTTGGAATTCGGGAAAATAGTTATCTAATTGATGTACCTCAATGTATATTCCACAACGTAAAAAATAAGCAATGTTAGGTGTGAAAACTAACTTGCATTGTCACTAATAACACATATCAGTAAGACCTTGTTGTATATCATCAATTACAGATTAAAAACTTATCTACATCATCAAATATCGCAGAATGAAGAGAATTTTGTAAAGGAAAAATGCATTAGTGACTAAATACTGAACCTGAGATTACCTCATTGCAAGTACCTATGATAATATGCTTCGTTGACTGCCAAAACGCATTTGATTGTATTTAGTTTAAGTGGTACTAATGATACAGACTAGGTTTGGATATTAATCTTTCCAAAACCAAAATCATGGTATTCCACAAGAACCCCCATGAACAAATTACACCCAACATACAAATCAATGGTATCACCCTTCAGAGCTCTCAAAGCTTTATATAACTGGGCAGAGAGCTAAACAGTCAGCTAGACCACTCAAAAGAAATTAGAAGACGTATTGAAATAGCAAGATCTGGCTTCATGAACATGCGTAAAATGCTCTGTAACCCCAAGCTATCAATCACAATAAGGTTAAGAACACTAAAGTGTCATGTGTGGTCTCTACTAATATATGTCTATGAGACCTGGACATTAAAACAGTATGACGTCAACAAACTGAATTCATTTGAAATGTGGATGTACCGCCGAATGCTAAGAATAAGCTGGAACAGCAAAACTACAAATGAAGAGGTACTGGAAATAATGAAGACACGACCTCATCTGGTTAATACAATCAAAATTAGAAAGACGTCATATCTAGGACACATAATGCGCCATAAGGAATTTGAGCAGCTCCAAGGAATTTGAGCAGCTCCAGGTAATATTAGAAGGCAAAATCGAGGGTAAAAGGGGTATAGGAAGAAAGAAGAAATCCTGGCTCCGAAACATCAGAGATTGGACTCACACAACAGGAAATTACTTAATCCATCAAGCCCAGAACAGAGAGAAATTTGCCATATTGATCGCCAACCTCAATAGAGAAGGCACTTAGAAGGAGGAGGTACTAATGACCTTACACCTATAGCAGCAAATAAAGCTTGATGCTTGATCTCCTGCGAAGAGTCAGTGAGAAAGCAATAAAGTTGGTCTTAAAATTATTAAAGGCGGTGTATTCAGTTGACTAACGACTTGCAGGAATACCAAACAGAACACATGAGACAGAAAATGACAAACACTGATGCATTTAAAATGTTTAAAATGTGGTGTTGGGGTGTTAGAGAAGTGTGCTGTGTATAGCTTGGACGGCTCATCAGACCAACGTTTAATTCTTAGTAAACTTAAAATTAAAAAGAGGGTGCCGTTCATAATATTTCTGCAGAAATTCTACAGTTCTTTGGTCACATGGTTCGCAGAGATAACAATAATTTAGAGAGATTAATTATTTCTTGCGTTGCGGGGAGAAGACCAATAAGATAGTCATAAATTAGATGGTCAGACCAAATTAAGAATTTAAAGGACGATTTATTCAGCAAAACTATTGGAGAATCTGAAGATAGAGATTAATGGAAAAAATTTGTTAAGAGTCGTGGAGTAAAACACGATTCTCAGTAATGGGGAAAACAACAATAAAGCGCTTTTAGACAACAGGGATTTGAAAAATCTTGATTTGCACAAGGATAAATCAAGAGTAAGGCTTTTAAACTTAAGCGGAAAAATATATGCGTAGATAGTTAATTGACTTTAGGGCTTTAGGTGTCCTTAGGAGCTCCTAAAATGGCTAAGGGACTACATTACTTGAATGTGGCTTGTGGGCAAGAATAGTGATAGTTTAAAGAAGCGTAACAATGTCAGACTTGAATGGGTGTCACTTGAACTTGTTAAAGACTAAATATATGTCGGCTATATCAAGAATGGAACAAAATAACTTGAAGGTGCCACAGGAAACTATGGAAACGGTAAAAGAGTTCTGCTACCTAGGGTCACTGGTTACCTGCAAAAACAACACACCCAAAGAAATAAGAAAAACAATATGAAAAGCTAACCACTATAATGTTTTTTTGGTATAGGTCCTCAACTAAGACAGAAAATATGTTAAGATCAACAAAGTGCAAACTTTATAAAACAATAATTCTCCAGTGCTCACCTGCGGATTGGAAACATTAGCAATGACGACCCAAGATGAAGAGCTACTACGAATATTTGAAAGAAAAGTATTGATGACCATATATGGCGGAGTTATCTAATAGGGTTGGTGGAGAAGGCGATATAATTTTGAACTCTATAGACTTTTGGTGACGCAGATATCGTAAAAACCATCAAAATTATCCGCCTGAGATGGGTGGGCCACGTTATGCGGATAGATAAAAGTGATCCTTCCAAAATAACCATGTTAAATAGGCAGATCAGAAGAAGAAGGAGGCCATCTGAAATCAGGTATCTCGACAATGTGCGGGACCATTTTAGGCAGATTGGAGTAAAGGCAGGGAGAAGACACATTCGACGGGGAAGGATGGAAGAATGATTGAACAGTGATTCAAGAACTCTTAAATAGGAAACAGAAAATAACAATATTTTTTACCAAAAAAAGGATTATCTACTATTGTTAATTTTTTCAAACTTTTAGGTTAATTTTACGATGCCGACAACTCGCCAGATCCAGATTTGCTAAATTGAGAGCAGATGTATTGGTAAAAATGGAACTTTTGGATAACAAGCATGTACAATCACTTGGAGGTCATTTGGTTAAAGTCATAAGAGGTCTGGCTGAACTACATACAAGAACTGTAGAATTACTAAATGGGCCTGCGCTATTTCCGGTGGAGGTTGATTTAACTACTAACGCTTTCCAGTATAAATCTACAACCCCTGTAACACAGGTAAATAATAGAGAGTTAAGGTGCAGGTAACACGTAAACGTAAAGAAATTACGTTTACGGCCACTATACCTTTTAACTGTGAAGTGTAAAACGTTAACGTTTAACATGAGTTTCTAACCTTACTTTTACTCGGTTTCTTTGTGGATTATTTACAAATTTGAATAATTATACACTGTCCTTTTATATGTTTTTCCTGGTTTAGGTAGATTTTTTATGAAATATTCTGATTGCTTTTACTGCAGAATGGAAGATATCCTTAATATTAAAATGTTTGGGGAATTTGATTTCGAGGATGATGACATGGACAACGCTGTACTTCTACATTTTTTTTTCACTATTTTTAGGTTAAAATAACACAAATAAAAGATAAATCTTTGGTTAAAATCACAAAACAACAAAAAGTTTTTAATTTTCGAATATTTGACAGACATTCGGTAATACCCGGAATAATTTTTATAACATTAAGGGAATTCGTAAACGCACGCAAGTTACGGAGACCAGTTAACGCAAACGAGTGTATTCCTCTACTGCGCACGAGTAGCTGTCAAAGTATACGTTAACTTTAACGTTTTGCCCTACACTTTAACCACCGAACAACTTGTTCGGTGCTTTAACTCCCTACTATGAAATATCTTGGTTCTTTATCATCATTATTGGCGAGGAACCGCAAAGTGGGCGACGCCTGGTGGTAGATTTCAAAAGCATCCACTTCGGGAAAAGTTTGAAATTGTCATTAATTTGTATACATATTAGCGACCGGTTTATATTGTAATTAACAATGACTCCGACTTTAAAAAACTATTGAAGTGTTCCTCAATGTTCATCCTATTATAATTCACAAAAAAATCCCTACATAAGTTTCCGCTGAACGAGAATATGAGAAAAGTTTAGCAATACATTAAAACCAGATAGAGCTTGTTTGAGCAGCACTACAATTTTTACAGATTTTAAATAATTAAATCCAACTCTTTATATAGTCATTATTTTGCAAACAATTATTCATGTCAGCAACATTTCTGTACATAAAAAGAAATCAATCAATAATTATAGGAACCGAGGCAACCCTGTTTTTTTTTAAACCACTAACGAATTCTGCACACCTCCTAAGTTTGTGCGATGCTATCTGGGGCGTAGTAATATTTTTCTGACAAAATAAGAAATTTAATTTAATAAATCTACTTCATGAAGACCTGTGGTTTATCAATATTTTTGTTGTTTTCCGTTTTGTCTTCGTCTGGCGTCAGTTACGATATAATTTATGACGTATAAACGATATTTTGTGTATTTTATTATTGATACCCACTCTACAGTTTTATAATTACATCACGTGTCAACGTCCAGTATATTAACGATAAAAAACGAAAACATAAAATATTAATAATATTTTTATTTATTATTATAATAAAATATACCGTATCTTTGAATTGTTTCAGTATAATGACGATGACAAAGAAGTCGAAGAAGGGGAAGAAATACTGGACATTGATCATGAGGACTTAATCGCAAACTTTACAAAACCTAGTGCACCAAATGACCTTGAAAATAATGATCTGCTTCTACCAGACCTTTCAAATGTTATACAAAATGAGCCGAACTACGACGACATGGACAACTGGGCACTTTTATCTTCTCTGTGTTTGCAAGACAGTCCTCAAAATAAACCTCTTTTGACAGACTTAGATTAAATATCACTTCAATAAAAAAAAGTACATTTTACTTGAAATAAATCAATTATAATTAGTATATTACAATATCGTGTTGTTTAACAACAGTGAATATATATTAAATTATATTAATTATACATTATAGTGTGTTATTTTCATTTTTGTATAAAATACTTAATCCGTATGTGAGCCACGTGGTACAGGTAGGTACACTGTTATCACATGTATTTACACCTGAAGTATTTCCTGCTTATATGGTATTGGGACCGTGCAAGTTAGGAACAGCGACACCTGGTGTCGTAAATCAGCAAAATTTACTGCGCTTACATGTTATATCGAGGTTACCGGATATCTGTCAAGGACGTAGCCCCAAAAAATAATAAGAAGAATAAGTAAGATTGAGGTTATGTCGGTATGTTATTAAAAGGCAAACGTTGTATGTAGTGTAAATACAAATAAATATATTATTAAATTACAGCATTACTGTTAATATGGATGCAATAATAAAAACTGGATTTGAGAAAGTAAATCACCAAATAACTTTTCAACCAAGCACTGAGTCAAAGGGAAAAGCTTTAGTAGTGGCAAATCATGTTAATAATGTGGAAGAATTAAGAAAAGTAAATTACCATAAATAATGCTAATGCATAAAAGTATAAATTAGCAGGTTAAGCCCATGATATCATTATATTGGTTTGAACAATTAATTTTTTCCCTGTAAACTTTTGGACAGCGAATATATCTTAATTCATCTTCAGAAAAACTTGAACTTGATGCATTTTTGTAAACTTCAAAAAAAATAAAATTTAAACATTAAACTTGATTTTTGGGTTAAAATGAACTCTAAGTGAGTGTTATGAAACTAAAATTTACACTTAAAAGGGAACTTTTATTTATTATTTATTTCAAACTGACTTTAAAATTGGGCGCAAGAACAATGCATAATTTAGGTTATGTTACTTACGCTTTTTTATGATTTAAATCCACTTTTCTCTTTGTAGTAATTTGTGCTTCGAAGTTGGAAACGAATAAAACTTAAATTGACAATTTTTTGTTGTATTTTTACAATTTCTAACAAAGCATTTAGTAAATCCCATTTTCTTCAGTGACACAAGGTGTAAATAAACAAACGAATATAAAACATGACAATTGACAATATGAATTTATGAAATCTATGAAATGTGCAGTAAAAAATGCAAGATTTCTTCGCTACTCGCGCACGATCGTTTCTCGTATCACATCCAAGTACTTACACGCCAATTCCAAGTACTTATTCGCCAATAATATTTACCTGCTATCATTATTTCGCCGTGCCTTTTGTTGCGCTTCCTTCATATATTTACGTGAAGTGTGTTAGTCTATGACTGACTCTGGAATCAGTCTTTTCTACACTAGTCTCCTTGTATTTCTACTCTGAAAAATAGTCTTATCCGGATTTAAGTAATACTCCTTCAAGCATATCTCGTTCACTTTGGCAAGAGAAAGTTAGAAAGCAAGAAAGTTGAATCAAACAGAACTTAGGTGAACACGTAATATATGCTGCGACAAAAGTTGATCATAACTCTAACAAAGAACATGAAAAACAGAGAAGGCCGTTGACAGGTGGAAGGAGAATTCACATGGAAGTGGTCCACCCCCCAATACTGTACACAGCACTAGTATGACAGCAGAAAAAGTCTCTCCTGAGGGTCGCCTGTGCATATAAGACGACTTTGACAGTTTCCTGATAAGAGTGAAAACGACAAAGCAGACGAGAGAGGGACGACCAACTCGAAATGGCAAGAAAAGTGGAAAACGAACATAGAGTTGAATGGGCAAAAACACTCATACCGGATGTGAGTGACTGAGTAGGACACTGCTATAGGGAGACTAAATACTTCTTGATACAGTTTCTTACGGGGCATTTTTTCAGGGCCTACCTGGTAAGGTACACGGCGGAACACTGTATGTTCGACTGCAAAAGGTTCACGAACGTGAGGGCGGATCTATACGAAAGGGTGTGAAAAGTAAGGGCGAATAACATAATGGAAGAAACAAGAAGAGGAGAAAATGAATAGAAAGAAATCCTGGGGGCAGACATAAACGCTAAAGAACTTTTTAGATATCACTTGAAGAAGAAAAAGCTTTTTAACTAAAAAACAATTCTTTATTGCAATAGAATCTACTAATAGAAACTACTAGAGATCAATAAATACAATTTGTTATTTTATCTTATTAACACAGACGAAGGCTTTCGCATGCACTTTTGTTTATTAGTGCAGTTTTGAACCTTGGTTATAAACAGGATTTCGAAATTGACTTTTTATTAAAAACATCGGCATGTGTTAGTTTAGACAAATATTGTCATTCTGTGTTTTAATCTTTGTCTTCGGACAATAATATTTATCATCTACTAATATATACAAATACGATTGAAAGGTTAAATAATAAGATGCCCTAAAAATATTGTTTCTAATTTATAAATATAACTAACTTATTTAATAATATCTTTTTTGGGATTTTATTAAATAAAATTATATCTATATAATTTAAAAAGCTTTTCTGGCGTCTTTTAGGTATTAAAACCGTAAAGCAATGTTATTGTATGAATCCCAATATAAATAAAAGTGCAGAACACCTTTTGTTAACAGTAGAATGACGCATTTTAAATAAATTTTCCGTCATTTTGTTTAGCTTGATACATCAACTGTACACAATGAGTTTTATTTTATAGAGACTGGGTTTAAAAAATCGCTGATAACGACAAACCAAATAAAATAGTATGTCACTGACTGTGACAATATATGTGACTATACAATATACAATATATCTACACCAGTGTAGTCCAACCTCAGGCAGAGAGGCGCGTTAAATTGCGGCCCTCGAAAACACATTTCAAAAATATTGCCATTGATAACTATTACCTGTTCCAACTCTCTCCAACTTTCTGTAATCTTAAGAAAGTAGTTAACCTTGAACACTCACTCCCGATGAGCGGGCAGTTAGCTTCAGTCAACTGCACGTATCGTGTTGAATTAAGAGTGGTAAATAAAGTTAATCGTACGTTCAAACTCCTTATAATCATGGGAGATTTCAATGCAAAAATAGGTAACGGAAAAGAAGGGCAACATATTGGTCCACATGGATTAGGAAAGAGAAATCAACGCGGAGAAACAATGAGTATCTTTGCAGCTGAGCATAACTTAATCGTGCTAAACATATTTTACAAACTACCGCCTAGACGCCTGTATACGTGGAAATCACCTAGAGACAACGGAGAAGACGTTATTATTAGAAATCAAATAGACTATATGCTTGTTAACAAAAGATATCGAAATAGTTTCAACAGTGTTAAAACCTACCCAGGCGCTGATATTCAATCTGACCACAATCCTTTAGTGGGCGTGTATAGAACTAAGTTAAAGAAAATACGCGGAAAAAACTGTAAAAAAACATGACATGAGAAAACTGAAATGTAGCGAAGTAAAAGAAATAGTCAGCAAAACATTAAATAGAAAATTTAAAGAAATCGATAATACAACGGAAAGCACAGAAGATAAGATAGAATCCCTTAAGAAAACAATAGACGACATTAAAGACAATTTTATGAAGAACGAAGAAGGTAAGAATAAGACATGGATGACGACAGAGATTCTGCAACTAATGGAAGAAAGAAGGAAAAACAAGAACGATAACTCCATGTATAAAACATTACAGCGAGAGATACAGAGAAAGATCAGAGAAGCCAAACAGAAAGAACTGGAGAAAAATGCCAAGAAATCGAAATTCTCCAAAGTAAATACGACGACTTCAACGTGCATAAGAAGGTAAGAGAAATTACAGGTAAATGTAAAAACAGAAGAATAAGTAAACTTGTTAATGACAATGGAGAGATAATCGTGGACAAAGAAAGTATCAATGATGCCTGGAAAAATTACATAAGAAATTTATTTTTTGATGAGAGAGAGAACCAGCCCCCAATACCTACGGAAACAGGACCACCTATACTAGGGGCAGAAATAAGAGCAGCCATAATATCACTAAAAGAAGGTAGAGCTCCAGGACCAGACGGAGTACAATCTGAATTTCTTAAACTTCTTGATGATGAATCTTTAAGAGTACTATGTAAAATCTTCAATAATATCTATGACACAGGCAATATCCCAAAATATTGGCTACTTTCAGAATTTATTACCTTACCAAAGAAACAGTGAGCAAAAAAGTGCGGAGAATATAGGCTAATAAGTCTAATGAGCCATACATTAAAACTTTTTCTTAAAATTATACATTGTAGAATATACAAGCTATGCGAAGAGAGAATACAAGACACACAGTTTGGATTCATGAAAGGCGTAGGTACAAGAGATGCACTGTTTAGTCTACGAGTATTATTTCAAAGATGCAGAGATATGACTTGCGATGTTTACACCTGCTTTGTGGACTACCAAAAGCATTTGATACAGTTCAACACCAAAAAATGATGGATATTCTAACAAAAGCCCAAATGGATGATAAAGATCGGCGTATAATACAAAATTTATACTGGAACCAATCAGCCACAATAAGAACGAATTTTGGAGGTGAACCAATGGAAATGATCCAGATTCTACGAGGCGTTAGACAAGGTTGTATACTTTCACCTATATTATTTAATCTATATTCAGAGGAAATATTTAGTGAAGCCTTGGAAAAATGCGAACATGGAATACTTCTAAATGGAGAACGCCTAAACAACATCCGTTATTCAGACGACACCGTTATTTTTGCAGACAGTTTAAACAGTTTACTAATAAACAAAGTAAATGAAGTAAGTGAAAGATTTGGACTTCAAGTAAATATAACAAAAACTAAATTTATGATCATCAGCAAAAATAAAGTTAGAGACGCTCAACTACTTATCAATAATACACCAGTGGACCGAGTAAAACAGTATAACTATCTTGGAACAACAGTAAATGAACAATGGGATCACTCACAGGAAATAAAATGTAGAATAGAGAAGGCTAGGAGTGCATTCAATAACATGGCCAAACTCTTTAAAAGCCACAATATTAATCTGGAGATAAAAGTAAGGCTCCTACGATGTTATATCTTCTCAATATTGTATTACGGAGTTGAATCCTGGACACTAACTGAGGC